TATTTAGAACATTGAACTTGAAAACAACATACAAGGGACATTCTGAATTCTCAATTTCTAGAATGTTTAAAAATAGTTGTTCAGGCATAGACATGTGTAGAGTCAAGAGACTAAACCAGATGACACTTTCAAGACTTTCAGATCTAAAAGTTCGCTTAGAAAGGAGTTCCTTGAAAAATAAAATCAGAAAGCATCTACTGTATTTAGTTATCCTGAATAAAAAGTAATTTCATTTTCCCTTTACTACTTAATTGGCTCTTTTGCCCAAAGCACATTTAAATTCTGAGTCTCAATAAAGCTATGATGGTAATCATAAAAGATTTAAGAGTATTCATATCTCATTTCATTACGGTAAAAATATTGCCTAAGTCTTACCAACTTCTATAGGCTAAAAACAGCTACTATCGGAACAATGTCTACTCTAGTAATTATCACCAACAACTCAAAGGGTTTGAGAGTATTAAACACCATCATTGCCATGTAGCTGGATGCACAGAGTAATATTAAAAGGAATGTGTTAAATTGTACATTTCAGAGACATATTCTTAAAGGGATTAGCACCAAGACCTGCTCTTACAAAGAGATAGAAAAAGAGCTCAAACTCTTTCTGAGGCTTGTGAATACATGGAGTTATAAAATGATGTCCCCAAAAGTCTGGAAATGAGAGAAGAAAACTAGCTCTGAGTGTTAAACTCAGAGATCAAAGCAGAAATATGCAAAGTTGCCTGAAAGGGGCAGAATGACTCCTAGGCCTTCAGGGTTTGACTAAGGACAGATTAACTGAACATTTCTAAAGATAGAATATTTTACTCATAGAGTGTCAGCTATAAAAGCACAGAAAAAATTAGAACCTGGAGGTCCCTAGGGTAATGCCAGGTTATCCTTAGCTGCCATTAGAGACTTAGTAAGGTGAGAAAATATACTCATTATCTTTGTGTTGATTAATCTTTGTGTTGATTAATCAAGTCATTGTTCTGGTGTGTGTTTTAGCCTTGTGCACACTTAAGTCAAAATGAGTTTGTCTAATCCAGCTCTATCTTGTTCACTGAGATATTGTCAGTGCCTAGTATGATATAAAACTACCAAACACAGTGGATGCTCAGTATTTCTTTTTCAGTTGAATTAGTAGTCCTAAAACTGACAAGGGAGAATTAGCTTTTCAGTTCATTGATTTTCCTCTATTATTTTTCTATTTTCTATTTCATTGATTTCTACCCTGATCTTTATGATTATTTTTTCTCACTTTAGATTTCATTTGCTCTACTTTTTCTGGATTCGTAAGATGGAAACTGAGATCATTTGTTTGAGTCATTTTCTTGTCTAATATGGGTGTTTAGTGCTAAATTTTCCCTCTAAGTACTATTTTAGTCCCATTCCTTAAATGTAGATATGTTGTCTTTTCACTTTCATTTAGATCAAACTACTTCTAATTTTCTGGGGTGTTTTTTATTTGTTTGTTTTACTCAATGTTTATGTAGAAGTGCATTACTTAGTTTCCAAATATTTGTGGATTTTCCAGTTATCTTTCTTTTATTCATTTTAATTTGTGTGATCAGGAAATACACTTTCTATGATATTATTTTTTAATTTACTGAAATTTATTTTCTGAACCAGAATATACAGAATATGGTCTATCTTGGCAAATATTTCAAGTACACTTGAAAAGAACATGTTCTTTGTTTTGTTTTGTTTTGTTTTGTTTTGCTGCCGATGAGTGGAATATTCTATACTATAAATTAGGTCAAGCTGGTTGATAGTGCTATACAGGTCTTCATTTATTTTAAATTGATTGATAGTGTTGTGATTTTTTGTCAATGAGTTCTATCAACTTTTGAGAGTGGTTATCAAAATCTTTGGCTATAACTGTGAATTTGTATATTTTTATTTCAATTTTTGCCTTATGTATTTTAATGATTCATTATTAAATTCATAAATGTTTAGAATTGCTATACATAGAGTGACTTGGTAGAGTGAATTTTATTATTATGAAATGACTCTTTTAACTATGGCAATAATTGTTTTTTGAAATCTACTTTGTCTTATATTAACAGAGGCACTCCAGCTTTCTTTCAATTAGTGTTGCCAGAGTATATCTTTCTATCCTTTTATTTTTAACCTATTTGGTCTTTTATGTATAAAGTGTGTTTCTGTAGGCAGCATGTAGTTGGGTCTTTTTTTAAATCCAATATGGTGATCAATGTCTTTTAATTACATATTTAGGCAATTTATGTTTAATAAAATATGTGGTTTGGGTTTAAGTCTACTATCTTGCTGTTTGTTCTTTATTTATCCATCCTGATCTTTCTTCATTTTTCCTCTTTTACTGTCTTCTTTGGCATTAAGTATTTTTTTTTTTACTTATTGGCTTTACTTATTGGCTTCAAGTTCATAAGCATCTTTAACTTATAGCAATCTATCATCGAGTGATAATCTAATGCTTTACATATAATGTAAGAAGCTTACAACAATATACCTTGATTTCTCTCCTCCCAGCATTTGTACTATTATTGTCATACACATAACTTCTACATATATTATACACTCCACAGCATGTTGTTATTACTTTTGTTTAAAAGTCAATTACCTTTTACAATTTTTGATGCTATTTATTATTTTTGTGTATCCAGCTCCCAATCTAGTATGATTTTTCTCCTGCATGATGAACTTCCTTTAACATTTCTTGGAGTGCAAGTCTGCTAGTGATGAACCCTTTCAGCTTTTGTATTTCTGAAAAAGTATATTACCTTTATTTTTGAAAAATATTTTTGCTTGGTTAAAAGTCCTACATTATCAGTTTTTAATTCCTATACTTTAAAGGTGTTACTTGACTCTCTTCCAGCTTGCAGTTTTGGTGAGAAATTTGCTGTCTCCATTACATTTGTTCTTCTAAATGTAATGTGTCTTCTGTAGCTTCTGTTATTTTTTTTTTAATCATCGCTTTTAATTAATTTAATTATTATAGGTTTTGGTGTAATTTTCTCCAAGTTTCTCATTCTTGGGGTTATTTGAACTTCTTGAATCTGTGAGTTTATACTTTTATTAACTTCGTAAATATATTTTCTACTACATTCCCTCCTTTCCGAGACTCCAAATACATGTATATTGGGCTGTTTTAATTTTTTCCTATACCTCATTAATTTGTAGGATATTTTGTTTACTTTTTATGTTTTTTTCTCTACATGTTGCATTTGAATGATTTCTATTGCTATATATTTATGATTGCTTATCATTTCTTCTGCAATGTATAATCTGCCACAAATTCTCTTCAGTGTATTTTTCATCTCAAATATTGTCATTTTCATCTCTAGCAGTTTGATTTGGATATCTATACCTTTATCTATATCTATATATCTCTATTCATATATTTTTCATTTCTCTACTTAGACTATTCATTATTTTATCTATCTTCTTGAATATTTAGTATTCAATTATATAACTGTTTTAATTTCTTTGTCTACTAATTCCACCACCTGTGTCATTTAGAGTCAATATATATTGATTAATTTTTCTTCTTTTAATGAGTCATGGTTTCATGCTTTTACACATGCCTGGTTCTTTTCTTCTTCTTCTTTTCTTCTTCTTCTCCTCTTCCTCCTCCTCCCTCTCTACCTTTTCCTCCTCCTCCTTATTATTATTATTATTACTACTACTACTACTACTACTACTACGACTACTACTACTACTACTATATTCCAGACATCATGAGGGTTACTTGTTGTGCATTTAAAATGTTTGTATTTTTATAAATATTCTTGAGCTTTATTCTGAGAAGTAGTTAGTTATGTGGAAACAGTTTGATTTTTTCAGATCTTGAATTTCAGTTTGTTAGGTTGGGCTAGATTAAGTCTAGGCTTAATTTTTTCCCATTACTGTAGCAAAATCTTTCTGAGTACTCAACTCTGTCCTTTACAAATAATGAAGTAGTACACTCAGGCTGGCAATAATCTGAGTACTGTGTGGAATTATTCCCTGTGATCTTTCAGGAGGTTCTATCACCAGTATTGGGTAGTTTCCTCAGATTCTCTTGTTAATCAGTTCCTAATACTCTATGGAACCTCTGTACAGAGCTCTTTCTCCCTGCAGCTGCCTCCTCTCTGATACTCTAACCAGCTTTACCTCCTCAAATCTTCAACTCAGGCTTCTCACTTAAAAGAGAGTGTTATACTCCTCCCAGGTCCCCCACCCTGTGTAATGTCCTAGAAACTCTCTTGAGATGGTAAGCTAAGGAAATTATAGGGCTCGCCTAATTTGTTTACCTTCTCTCAGGGATCAATATGCTTCACTGCCTATTGTCCAATATCTCGAGAATCATCATTTTATATATTTTGCCCATTTTTATTTTGTTTTTGTTTTATCAATTTTAGGTAGGAGGGTAAGTCCTCTCCCTATTATTCCATATTGGCAGAAAGCAGAAATCTGAATTGACTTTTGTTTTTTGTCTTTTAATTTTTATTTTAAATTATATGTATATATACATAAAAAGTGGGGATATAAAAGACTTAGTGTGTGTGTGTGTGTGTGTGTGTGTGTGTGTGTGTATAAAATGTCAAGCACTATTGTAGGTAGTGGAGATCAGCAGTGAACAGCCAGCCAAATATTCCTGCTTTTCATGGTGAAATGGCTATTCCAGAGAAATGGCTGATTCCTGAAACATCATTAAAGTTTCTCCATCTAATTCCAAAATTTGTGTATCAGATGGGGTGAGGTGGGGGGATTTCTTTACAACAGCAAACATCTTTCCAACACCAGATGGGTGTCCTAAAATTCAACACAATTCTGACACTATCTACCTGGAAATAGCATCAGATTCCTCAGGTTAAGGGTTCAGTCCTGTAAGACTGCCCCCTCCCCCGGCACCCCAACTTCAAATACCAATCAAAAGTCCAGGTTGTCACCTGTGCTTTTAACCAACCAACTATAGATAGAAAATTCCAAAGACCTCCTCCTTTGGTTCAATTAATTTGTTAGAGCAGCTCACAGAACTCAGAGAAAGATTTTACTTACTAGATTACTGGTTTATTATAGCAGGATATACCTCAGGAAGACGGAAGAGATGCATAGGACAAGGTGGGGAAGATTGGGAAATAGTGTAAAGCTTTCATTCCTTCTCCAAATGGTTCAATCTCTTGGAATCTCCGCATGTTCACCAACCCAGAAGCTCTCTGAACTCTCTCCTTTTGGGTTTTTAGGAGGCTTCATTATACAGGTATAATTGATTAAATCATTGACCAATGGTTACTGAATTCAATCTTTAGCTCCTCTTCCCTGAAAGTTCAACCCTCTAATCACAGTTGCTCCTCTGGTGACCAGCTCCCATTCTTCAGTGACCTAAGGGCATTACAAAAATAATCTCATTAACATAACAAAAGACACCTTTATAGCTCTCATTACTTAGGAAATTTCAAGCTCTGTCAGAAATGGGAGGAAGATCAAATATATATTTCTTATTATAAGTCATAATATTACAATCATGATGCAAGAGTAAGCAAGATGTCTAGTGTGATCATGTCAAAAATATTCAGGAGCCAACTAAAGAAGCTTACACTTGCCAAAGAGAGGACATTTGAGCATTAGTGGAATAACAGTTGTGATGCATTGATGCATATCCAATATATCTAAAGCATGAATTTATTATAATACTAAGAAATAAATCATTGGTCATTTTTGAAAGACTCTATGGAATTAAATCACTATTTTGATAACCAGTAAATAAAAAGAAATTTTTAAATATATTTCCTACCTTCCCTATAACCACATAGTTTGAAAGACTCTATGAAATTAAATCACTATTTTGACAACCAGTAAATAAAAAGAAATTTTAAAATATTTTTCCTACCTTCCCTATAACCACATAGTAGATAAGAGAAGTTTTTCTTAAATATTTCAACTAAATAAGTAAAGATAGAATAATAGAATTATAATATTAATATTTTACAAACCCTAATGAAATACTGTTTCCAATCAATGGCTCCTAACATCACATATAAAAAATGAGAACTATATGTTATGATGTGCCCCCACTGGAAGTACACAATATCACCTAACAAGTATTTTTGCCAAAATCTCAAATATAAATTTAGTCAAGTTTCTAGAATTAACTACTTAATTTATAGGCAATATAGGAGACAAAAATATATTAAGAAATACCATGGAGATACAATCAGAAAATCCAAATTGTAGGAAACTCGACAAGGCAAACATCCTGGTTTATTCAACAAATAAATAAAAGCATAGAGAGGAAAAAAAAAAAAAGGTAAAATGAATCTATACATTTAAGAGACCTATCAAGAGATGAGAGATTTCGGAAGATGCAAACTCCCAACCTACTCTACCTAGAGGTACAAGCACTGTTTTCATAAGTCTACTAGCATGGATTGATTTAAGCCAAATAATTTAGGAAGTGTCTAGATGCAGTACTAAGAACTAGCATGGAGAGGAAGAAAAGGTGCTGTGGTCCTTCCTCAGAGATAGCTGGAGGTGAGCAGAATACCTGCCCAGAGATAACCTAATCCCATCCAGGTTCCAGGAAACACCTACTACAGTTCTATGGTGGTGAATTTAATGCCAAAATAAAACTACATTCCCTGCCCTGAAGGGTCCCATCAGATAATGGATAATATGGACACATTATGGTTAATAACAAAAGAAAAGAAGATAAAGGTGCTGTTTAAAAATAGGGTAAATCCGGAAGTTGTCAATCGCAGTGAGCAACGAGTCTTGAAGTCTCATTGATCATGGCCTAAAAACCTGAGTAGGATTTCAACATTTGGAAAAGGTCTGCAGGCCAGGGAGATGGAAGAAGATTTTAGAGGAATGATTTCTTTCCTATGATTCTATAGTAAACCATAAAGCTTTATTCTATATCATTTCTACTTTATTACAAAAGAGCAAAAATAATATATCTCTTCTGATGTAATTAGTTGCAGTAATATTTCTATTTTCATGATAATATAATCACATTTTAGCTTAGTGACACCTTATTTTTTTTTTTTTTTTGGCAAATATCACAAATACTTGAGTTGAGGGTGACATTTGGTCTTTTGACATTTTGTGTTCAGTCATCCAGAAAAAGACAGTTTGAATTATTAAATGCTGCCTTGTGAAGTGCTCAATGGGGAGTGGAGGCTGAAATCCTACGTCGATACGAAGAATGAACCATCAGATGGGTCCTAATTTTAATTTTTGAAATGACATTTTTAAAATATATAAATATATAATTTAAATATATAGTTTGTGTTTTATTTTTATTTCCTTGTGGTATTATAAAATCTTTTAGGATGTACTGTAACTCACTTAATTACTAGTATATTCTAAGTGGCCTTTCTGGGAATTTTTAACAGAAACAGCATGAAGTGGGTGCTAAGAACACTGAAGCTTGCTTTATAATTTACAGTGTAGGTGTAAATCCTTTCTCTTAAGAACAGCACAAAATTGCCACTTAATTCACTTCAGGAACATTTAAATTAGGTACATTTATGTTTTAAAATAACATTCTGTATTTTGCTCAAGTTATACTCAAATGAACTACACATGTGTAATGCATAATCAACATAACGCCACATAATGGCATTTGCGCAATAAATAAGAACAATGCTGTTAATCAAGATCTTGACTGAGCCCAGAATTACAACTAGTGAAATATTTCAAAGTGTTTCCTGGCCATCTGGTTCAAACTGTCAATATTAACCTCTGAAGCTTTCTTTCAAAAGATATGTCCAGGCAAGCAAAGCCTGGAAAGTCAAATAGGAGAGAAAGAAAAATGCTTCTGACGATGTGTCCTATTTTCAAATCTTAGGGAGATGCTAAAAGAATACATGCTTATACCGAGCATGCAAAAGTCATGAAGGATGATGAAGAAAAAGAGTAACACTTAGGGGAATTAGGAAAGTGTGAGTGTAGCAAGAGTGATAAGTGAATGACAAACATCTAGTAGTCCAGTGTGCCAGGAAATATACAAGTGGGGGTTTGGGGTAAAAACCAGAAACAGAGAATTGTTGAGAGGTGTGGCCTCAGAGATGGGAGAAATTGTTTTATGAACGTTTCCTCGGTTATGGGTTTTTTTTTTTTTTGTAAAGAAATAATATTGGAGCAAATCAAATTTTTTAATATTCAGGAAATGAACTGTGACTATCGTTTTATGTAATGATCAAGATTCGTAAATAAAATTGAAAAACTTGTCTAGCAGAAACATAAAATACAGACACTCATATGTTAAAGAGTAGAAAGTTTGGTTTGACTTATTATTTATTTATCCATTCCAAATATTTATCATGACCCTACCAATTTTCAGGCACTATACTAATATTGAGGATACAGCAGAGATTAATACAATGTCCCCCCTTTTTGGAGCTGATAATCTAATAAGAAAGGGAAGAGACTATATACATACATAAATAAATTAAATAACCTTACATACTGATATTTAATAAACATAGAAAACAGGTTAATGTGATAAAGAGTGAGTGTGAGGGTGGTTTGGGGCAAACAGGCTATGAGTTGGAATAAGGACAGGTCCTTTGAGGAGGAGGCAGCATATGAGCTAAGAATTGATTGATTCACAGATAAGAGCCAGCTAAGGCAGAATCTAACGGGAAAGTATTCTATGCAGAAGGAAGAGCTGGCACTCTGACATTGAGATTCAAGGGACCAGGCATTTCCAAGGGATGGAAGAAGGGGAGGGGGTCTGAAGTCTCATAACCAAGGTGACAGAGGCATAAGCAATGACCAGATCTTGTCAAGCTACTTTAGGATGACTAAAAGGAGATTAAGAGTAGAAACAGAAAGCACAGTTAGGAGACTGTTGCATTAGCCTCGCCATGTCTTACATTAAGATAGTAGCAGTAGATATGGTAGAAGTGATTGGTTTATTTCATAATTTGAAAGCTCATCTAGAAAACTTGCTGATAAACTGATTGTCACTGTTGTTTGTCCTAAGCAACTGGGTAAATGGTAGAAATTAGTTTGCAGTTGAAATCAAATACAGATGTTCCTTGATTTACGATGAAGCTATAAGCCTGATAAACTCATTGAAAGTTAAATATATTTTAAGTGAAAAAATGCACTTACTACTATACTGTAGCATTTGGGTTGTTTACCTTCGTGATCAGGTAGCTGACTGGGAGCTGTGGCTCACTGCTGCTGCCCAGCATCATACCACACATCACTAGCTCAGGAAAAGATCAAAATTCAAAATTTGAAGTATAATTTCTACTGAATGAATATCACTTTCATGTCATCATAAAATCATAAAATCCTAAGTTCCATCATCTTAAGTCTGGGACTGTCTGTAGTAGTTTTTATGGGTATATTTGAGGAATAGGCAGTTGGATATTTTAGTCCAAGTTCAGAAGAGACATCAGAGTTGAAGATAAATGATTAGAGCTAAAAACATATTAATAATATTTAAAGGCATAGGACAGGATGAGCTCATCTAAGGAAATTAAGATCTTAACTGAGCCCAGAATTACATCTAGTGAAATATCTCATAGTGTCTTTGGATAAAAAACAGGATACTTAAAGAACAGGGCCAAGGACTAAGCTGTGGGTGTCGCCAACATTTCGAGGTCAGGAGGAGGAGGAATCCAGTACAAGAAGTGACAGTGAGGCAGAAGGAAAATCAGAAGGATGTGACAACTGTGTCAAATGGCCACTGAGAGGTTGAACATGTTGAAGTTAAAGAATTGACTATAGGGGTCTGATAGGATGGTGGTCCTTGCTGCTGATTTTAATGAAAGCTGTTTTGGAACCGTTCTGCAGATATGAGCCTGAGAAGTGGGCTGAGAGGACATGAAAACAAGGAATTAGAAAGAGGAGATATATATAATTGTTTTCAGGACAATATCTATAAAACCAGAGAGAAAAAAATAGGTTAGTAGATAGACAGAGGAAGATATCATTTCAGGAGAATGTTTTTTATTTCTTCGTTTTATTGTTTCTTTTAAGATGGTTAATATTAAGGTACGTGCATAGCCAAAGAGAGTAACCCAAGAGTGAGGAGGAAGTTAATGCTATAAGAGAGAAAGAATAATTGCAGAAGCAAAGATCTTGAGGTACTGAGAAAGGATGACCCTAATTTCTTCAGTGATGCACTAAGTATTTGTTTACTGTAAGTCTTAGTTAAGCCACTGAATAAAGTGATTCTAATTCAATTGTTCTGGTTGGGTCCTGGGCATCCATACTTTTTTAAAAGCTCCCCAGTTACTTCTAATGTGCAGCCAGGGTTGAGAAAGAGCAGTTTAAACAATAGTGTATTGTATTTGTCCTTTATTTGTCTTTCTTTATAGTTTTATAACATATATGTGTATCCCCAGTAGTTTCCTGTTTAGTTT